CGCAGAAAGCGTTCAAAAGGTTCACCTGAGATAGAGGCCTAAAAGTGGAAGAAGCTGAAGTAGCAGGAGCTAACCGGCAAGGTAGTTCCACAGGTGAAGCCGCCTGCCGAACCACCTGATTGGCAGAAAGTGGAGAACAAGAAGAAGAAAAGCCCCTTGAAAAGCAGCCACGGAAGCCGCTCGAGACTCAGAAGAAAAAGGGGAAAAAGCCCCCACGAAAACCGACGCCTAGATCTGATGCTCTGATTATTCGTCCGAAGGACAAGAGCAAGTCCTCAGAAATTCTTACCCGAGTCAAAAAAGATGTCCCAATAGACCAGGCCCATGCATGCGTCGACAAGATTTGCAGGACGACAGCCGGAGATATGCTGATCATAATGAGTAGGAAGACCACCGGCGGAGCCCCCCAGCTACATAAAACCATCGCCGACCTCCTCGGGGATGAGGCTGAGGTGCTCAGCAAAGGGCCACAAGAAGATCTCGAGATCAAAGACCTCGACGAAACGACGACGAAACAGGACATTTTCGACGCTCTGAAAGCAGCAGCTGGAGAGGAACATAAAATCGGTGCAGATACCATCAAGTCCTTGCGTAAGGCATATGGAGGAACCCAGACGGCCCCAGTGACACTCGGAGTAACTGCAGCGAAAAAGATCCTGGGAGAGGGCGGGAAGATCTTCGTTGAATTGATCTCGTTGGGTAAATTGCCGTATAAAAAGAGTGGAGAAACCAATGAAGTGCTTCAAGTGCTGGTACTATGGACATCTCGCTGCTAAATGTGGGAGTAAGGTCGACCGGTCCAAACTCTGCACCAAATGTTCAGAGGCAGGCTACAAGGCTATGGACTGCAAGAGGGAACCTAGATGCGCCCTGTGCACAGAGAAAGGTAACACGGAGAATTGTGCCCACATTGCTGGTAGCAACAGATGCCCAGTGTATACATAGGCACTTCAGAAGCTGATTAGCAAACGACGATGAGGGTGCTATAACTCAACCTCAACCACTGTGAGGCCGCATACGACCTGCTCATGCAGACAGTGCGAGAGTTGACGTCTGAGCTTGTCATAATCTCAGAGCCATATAGACATCTTGGCGCCCAACCCTGGGTTACTGACGCCAGCAGAAAGGCGGTCATCTGGTCTTGTGGGAGCTACCCTTTCCAGATCGCCACCTGTAGTAATGAAAATGGCTTTGTGAAGGCTAAGATTGATGCAATTTACTTCTACAGCTGCTATGCCCCACCTAGCTTCTCTATTGACGAGTTTATGGAATTCCTGGATAGACTGATTCGAAGCAGCACTTTCCCGTGGCAATAGCCGGGGACTTCAATGCCGGGGCAGACGACTGGGAAAGTAAGGAAACCAACAATAAGGATCAAGCCATGTTAGAAGCTATGTCATCCCTCGATGTTGTCCTGCTGAACAATGGCAACGAACTGACCTTCATGAGGGGAGAGGCGAGCTCGATTGTAGGTCTTATATTTGTGAGCAGCAACCTTGCAAGGGGAAACTGCTCATGGAGGGTAACCAACATCTACATTGCCAGCGACCATCGTGCAATACTCTGGGAGGTATTTACCAGCCGGAGGATCGGGCCAGCGCCAAAGAAGACCAACGCGGTGGCTGGAAAGTAAGTACTTTCAATCCTAGCTCATATCTAATTGCACTAGACGACAGTCCAATCAGTGGCAGCAATGCTACTGAAAAGGTGGACGACCTCACGAGGAGAATGACGGAAGCCTGTGATGTCACCATGCACAGAAAGCACGTTGCCAATCGGCGCTCGCCGATGTATTGATGGAATGATACCATTGCCACTCCTCGTAAAGAGTGTAATAAAGCGAGGAGAATGTCAGAGCGAGCCCGAAAGAAGCCAAACTTCAAGAGATGCAGTCCAAATATAAGGAGACACGCCAGAAGCTCACCAAGGCTATCAAGTGCAGCAAGAGGCAATCCTGCAATAAGCTCCTTGCCGAAGTCGAAGGGGATCCGTGGGACAGGTTGTACAAGGTGGTGATGACGCGGCTTAAAAGCCAACCAATGCCATTGTCGACTTGTCCTGAACTTCTGAAGAAAATCGTCACGGTATTGTTCCCACAACAACCAGAACTTCACCTTACCACCGAGTGCAGAGGGGAGGAGATCATTTCACCAGTCACCGAAGAGGAACTGATGGAGGCCTGCAAAAAAAGTGGGGAACACCAAGGCTCCTGGCCTAGATGGAATCCCTAATATTGCGCTGAAAGCAGCCATCCGCACGATGCCAGCACTGTTCCTGGGCGTGTATAACGAGTGTCTCAAGGAAGGTACCTTCTTTGCCAAGTGGAAGCAGCAGAGGCTAGTCTTGCTCCCAAAAGGGAAAAAACCACCGGACGAACCTTTATCATATCGTCCCCTTTGCATATTCTACATAGCTGGCAAGATTCTCGAACGCATCGCCCATAGGAGGACAGAAGCAACAGTTGATTCACTGTTAGCTGTGAACCAGAAAGGTTTCCGGAGAGACCGATCTACTCTTGACGCCATCAGCCTGGTCGTTGGAACCGCTAGGGAAGCGATCTCAGGAAAAAGATGGTACGGGGGTCCGAAGAAGTATTGCTTAGTAGTGACACTGGACATCAAGAATGCCTTCAACTTAGCCAGGTGGGACTGCATAAGAGAGGCTCTTGTGAAACTGCTTGTGCCTGGATACTTGCGGAGGATAGTAGATAGCTACTTCACCGGAAGAATCCTCAAATACGACATGGAGCGTGGTCCCGAGGAGCACAGAGTTATAGGAGGGGTACCTCCAAGCTCAGTACTGGTTCCTCTCCTGTGGAATATCACGTACGATGGGCTGCTGAAGTTGACATTGCCACAGGATGTGCAACTTGTGGCATTTGTGGATGACGTGGCCGTAGTCATCGTGGGGAAATACCTGGAGGAGATCAACTTTGTATTTGATATGACTTTTGAGATGATCCGCCGCTGGATGGACACAGTAGGCCTGAAGTTGGCGGAACACAAAACCGAGGCTGTGTTGATCACAAGCAGGAAGAAGATCGAGACAATCACGCTGCAAGTCGGAAATTACGAACTCACTTCCCAGCCGTTCATTCGGTATTTGGGGATAATGATCGATGCCCGGCTCAACTTCAAGCAGCAAGCAGAGCACGTGGGTATGAAGGGTTTTGGGGTCAGAGCGTCCCTATCGCGCCTTATGCCCAACGTAGGAGGCCCTAAGCAGAGGAGACGAGCGCTACTATCGTCGGTGGTCACGTTGGTGGTCACGTATGTCATTGCCATGTGGGCTGACGCTTTGCAGACGTAGGAATCACGGCGGAATGTGGCACCAGTCTACCGACTGAGCGCCCTCAGAGTTGCCAGCACATACCGCGCTGTGTCCGAGGATGCAGTGTGTGTTATCGCCGGGATGTTGCCCATTGAAGTACTAGCCGAGGAACGAAGATCCCTGTACCGGCGGAAGAGATCTGAAGTGCTGAGTCCCGAAGAACTGGCGATAGAAGAGAGGCGAAACAGCTTGAAACGATGGCAGCTGAAGTGGGACAACTTCACCAAAGGGAGATGGACTCATCATCTGATCCTGAAGGTGGATGTCTAGCTGAATCGCGACCATAGAGAAGTCAATTATTATCTCACACAGATGCTGTCGGGGGCTTCCGGGCCCATCTTCATAAATTCAAACATGAGGATTCCCCGGAGTGTCCGACCTGCATAGAAGTGGATGAGGACGCGGAGCACGTGTTTTTCACATGCCCACGCTTCAGCGAGATTCAGAGTACCTGGGAGACTGCACTCAGAAGGCGGATCTTGCCTGGGAAAGTGATGGAAGTTGTGCTGTCATCGCAGGCAGCCTGGGACACAACGAGCAACTTCGCGACCCAAGTCATGAAGGAGCTCAGAAATGAGGAGCGCAAGCGCAAAATTACAGAATAGATGCAAAACCTGTTGGAACCTCCTACCCTCACACAATATCTTAGTAGGACAGGGGGACGTACAATAGGCTTAAACAACGAGGAAGAGCAAATAGCTGAGACCTCCCTTGCGAAGTAATACTTAACGGTGGTGCCGCGAGGAAAAATAGGGTCGACGAATTCCCGGGGTCAAGTGGTTTTAGTGGGTGAGGGCCCCACACAGGGTGCGACAGTAACCGCCATGTTACTGTCTACTATCTACCACTGTCTACTAAAACACACAGACACACACACACATACACACACATAAACATGTCTTGAAAAACATGTCAGAATGATTCTAGGGGTCATGAAACGTCGACAAATCGTGAAAATTCAAATTTTGGTTTTCGCGGTTATTACAATAATTTACTTCCTTAGGGTCGGGAAGTTGAAAATTTTGTTCTTAAAATCTAAGATGTTTTTCGATTTTTCAGAATTCTTCCAAATTTTTAGTCAACTTTTAAATACGCCAATAAAATAAGATTTAAAAAACCTGTTTTTTATCCATTAAATTTCAGGAAATCAATATGATGATTTGAAAATTCGCAGTGAGTCGTTTTTTGACCGCATTAAAATTTGCTGGGGGCAGACTCCCTACCCTTATCCGGCTAGACCCTTTAATGCCGCCAGGAGGTGCTGTTGGCGAAGTTATAATGTTTTAAAAATAGAACACAGAAGTCTGATTTTTTCATAATAAACCAGCACCGTCATGCTTCACGTATCAGAATAGGATTACAATGAAGCACTAGTATAGCTACCAGGCATATTCATCGAGATATTATTAAGACGTTTAGGGGTAATTTAGGTCTTAATTTGTGATCCGGCCCACTTCCGAAGGAAGATCTGATAAGTTATTCGTATTCTCTCCGATAAGAAATGACTTTACTCTTTTAAGTTTGACTTTCATAAATTATTTGTTCATACCATTTCATTAATAATTTTATTTGCTTCTATTCACTATTAAACGAAAAGTTAACGCAACAATACTGAACATGAGTATGGAATTAATCATTCATTTCCGATCTATTTTCAAACATATTTACAGGTGCATTTGGGCGAAGGGATTGCTGTATGTGAGGAGCAATTGAGGGCGGTGAAATGGAGTGACTACCGAAAATTAACAAGGGGTCTTGCGGCGATACTTTTTAGCCCAACGGAATTAGCCACCTGCTCCGTCACAGGCCAACGATGGAGTCGAGCGGGTACAGCAACGGAGAGGCCTGTGAAACCGGCGCTTGATCGAGCTAAAGTCCAAGCAATTATATGTACGTTTTTTCCACAAATCTTTGATTATATCATTGAATATTTGCATCCCTAAATTACAAAGTGAGGTGCACTTGTTGGTTCAGCGAATATGGATCGATAACTTTAGGAGATTCATAAAAATAAATGATTCAATGGGGAGGTAATTTCTCAGTTGACTAAGGTCCCAGTTGTGGACATAATTACAGCATGTAATGAAAAAGGAACTGCACCGAACATCGGTTACTTCTAGCAGAAGTTTTATCCTCAAAGTGGGAATCCTTTTGTATTTGCGTATACAGGGTGGTTCCAAATTACTAATAAACCTCTCGTCCAGTGATAGATTGGGGTCCCCTGAATACGGGAAAATTGTAAAAAAAATTATTAGTTCAATAGTTTTTAAACTATTGTCGCTTACTATCGACCAATTGGGATGCGCGTATTTTGCCGCAACAGAGTGGGTAGAGAGAGAGGGTAGAGTAGGTGACAACAGCGCATCGGGTTATGATGAGAGGCCGGTAATGTCAAGGTAAGTGCATTGCTGGCAACGTCACTAGATGATAGAGGGCGAGTCTTCATGTGATTGAGCGATGAGATTTCTTAAACCTTTAAAAATTCAAACTGAATTCAATCTTCCGCGGCTCTGTGCACAATGAATCCAGTGCATTACATAAATTAAAATTTGAATTATTACTTATTTAAATACTCAAATCTGTATCCACAATCATCTAAAATCTGATACCAATGATACCTATGATACCTTCTCAATACTAATCCTGGTATCGATTCAAGTATCAGAATATACCAAACTTTGTTTTGCCTTAAATTGCGAATATTAGAATTGATACTTAAATCAATAATTGAGTCAGTGCTTGAACTAATACTGGAATCAATACCCAGAACAATACTTCCAGTGGTACGTAATGTGTATTGATTGAAGTATCGATTCAAGTATTGCTTTGAGTTTTGATTCAAGTAGTAATTCAAATATCGATCCAAGTGTTAATTCAACTATCGACTCAAGTATTGATTCGTGTAATTATTCAAATATCGATTCGAGTATTGATACAAGTATTGATTCGACTATTGATCCGAGTATCGATTCAACTGTTAATTTAAGTACCGATTCAAGTATTGATTATATTATTAGCAATAAGTGCTAATTCGAAAATTAGATTCAGTAATTGAATCAACACTCGAATCAATTAATATTGAGAAATATTCCGTTTGATAAGGACTAAAATATCATAGGTATCCGAGTTTAAGTGATTGTGGGTGTCGATTTGAGTATTTAAATGAGTAATAAGTCAAAATTTAATTTATTTAATGCATTGGATTTATTGCGCACAGAGGCGCAGAAGATTGAATTCAGTTTGCATTTTTGAGGGTTCAAAAAATCCCATCGCTCAATCACATGAAAATTCGCTCTCTATCACCTACTGCCATTGCCAACAATGCACCTACCTTTACATCACCAGCCTCTCTTCATAACCCGATGCGCTGTTGACACTTACTCTACTCCCCTCTCTACCCATTCTGTCGCGGCCAAATACGCCCATCCCAATTGGTCGATATTGAACGTCAATAGTTCAAAAACTATTGAACTAAAAATTTTTTTTTAGATTTTTCCCATATTCAGGGGACGCCAATCTATCACTGGATGAGAGATTTATTAGTAACTTGGAAACACCCTGTATACAACCTGGCGCTATGCAATTGAAAGTGTGTTATGCCCATTTTTTTTTTAAATTGCCGACAATCACTCGAATGGACATTTGGCCCAGTTTTTCGGAGTGTAAAACTGTTTTAAATCCAATACTACTATCCTTTTCTTTAGAGGCTTGTATCTTGACGAAAAAAAATCGCACGACTGGGGAGCCAACTTCATTTGTCAGATTGAACACCACTCTGCTCCAATACGGAGTTTTATTTTTTTTCATCTTATACTTTCTGCGTTATTACGATAAGAAATGAAAAAACTCATATTTTTCATGTGCCGTGACAATTTCTGAACTTTAAGAATAGAATAGTTGAACAAAAATATAATTTTTTGAACAATTATTGGTTTTTCAAGTAGTAGTATTCTTTTATTCCTTTTACGGACTTTCATTAACAAGTGGTACAAAGTCACTTTTTTTTCCAATTTTCTTCACTTAACCTAAACTATATTACTATCTTAACCTGCTTTCGTCTTTATCCTTTATTGTCTCTCTCCCTCTACCTTTCTTTTCACTTCTTTCCAGGAGCATGTAAACAATAAGAAAAAGAAAATGAGGAAAAATATCAAAAGAAAAATAATAAACTGATTATAAAATAAAATAATATGATAGTGTACACCCCAGTCCAACAAGCCACCACACCACTGTCCAGCCCCCAATCCTCCTCACTCACTTCTATTTCACTTCCCCCACCTGCACCGTCTGCCTCAATACGCCGTTGTCCTAACTGCTGCTTTCTCCTTCCCTCCTCTCCACTCCTCAGGCCTCTCCTTTTCTCCAAGGTCAGGCGAGGTTCCCCTCACAGCGATGGGGCTACTCAGTCCACCCCACCACTGTGAGCGGTCCCGCGCCATCCTACAATCTTCTTCGCCCCTCCTCTCCTTCTCGCTTCCTTTATGCGTTCTTGTTCTTATTTTCCTCATTCTCCTCTCCACTCGAATCTGCCCAGTTCCTGACCAAATCCTCGTTCTCAAACTTTCCTCCCCTTCCTTTTCCTCGTACTCGTCCCTTTCCTCACTTCTCTGTCTCTCCCATCTGTTTTCCACAAACTTCCACCAGACCCCATCTACACCAAGCCTATCCCTCTCCTCGATCACGCATCGTCCCCTCCTCCTCTCCTGCCTAGCTCTTTCCTTCATCTTCCATCTCGACCTTCTTTCCGCAAATGTCAAATCCTCATTTACCCATATCCCATGAACTTCCTCAATTCTCTCCTTACCCTGCAACAACTGTTGCCAATCCTCTTTTGCCTCCAACTCCACAATCAAAAACCCTTCTCCCTGCATCGTTTTTCTCTTCTCCATTTTCACGATTTCCACCTCCTTCTTTAAGAACTTTTCAAAACTATTCCTCGCCTGTTTCCTTGCATCCCAGCCTTCTTCCTTTATCCCTCTCACCACTAGTCTCCTCTGTCTCTCTCCGTCCCGATCTTCTTTACTTTTCTCCCTCTCCGCCGCCTTTGCTGTATCCCTGTCCTCCTCCTGCCCCTTGACTATCTCACTCTCCCCTTCGTCTACCTTTGCCGCGTCCACGTGCCTTCCCATTTTCCCTCTGTCCCATTCATCCCTCTTCATCAACACTAATACCTTCATCATTCCTCCAATCCCCTTCAGCTTGTCCAGCACACTATCTTTCCACTCTTTATCCTCTTCCGTCTACTTGATCCATTCTTCGTCCCGCATCCTTCGGCCTAACCTCACTTTTCTGCTTCTAACACGTATGTCACTGCTGCCTTTTCTGTTTCTATTTGCTATTTCCCGGACTCTCTTATCCGTTGTCCTCTACTCCCGACACTATCTTGCCCCCATCCATTCCTTATTCCTTATTCCAATTCCACATGTTCCTTATATCTTCTGGGACACCCTCTAGCCCATATCCTCGGGCTCCTTCCCTGCCTCTTCGCTACCACGTTTTCAACAACTACCCTAACCTCTCCATCTCCTTCTTTTCCTTCTAATCACACTACTTCACCATTTTACCCCTCACTTTTCTTCTCTTTCCTTCCCTCAACTTTTTCCTCCTCCACCACTTCAAGTTTTCCATCCCCCTTCTTCCCACAAACCACTTTTTTCGACCACTTTTCTAGAGGACTCCAAAACCACTACCTCTCCGTTCCTTATCCGCTCCGTTCTCCCTGGTGTTTTAAGTAACTGGGCAGATCGCGCGCTTCGCGCGCGCTACCTAGGTTGCATGAAATTGATATTTGTCGTCATTTTCATGAATTATAAATCCCCCGACTTACTAACTACGTGATCCTACATTTTTTCAATTTTTTTATTATATTTCAATCATGTTTTAATATTTATATCAGAAATAATTATAATTATTGTGACAATTAAATTAACCAACTATAAACCAACTTTAAACAGAAACTTCACTTCATTCTCCTGACAACTTTACAAATGATAACGATGTTCAAATCGATTCGTCATACAAATTGTCGGATCGAATCGAAAGCTTCATCATTACCAATAAATGATTTCGAAAAATGGAAAATATCAATGCATTTTTAATGGGGCATCAGTTTGGTGTCCATTTTTTGAACGTAAATGTGATATTTCTATATTTAAGCATTAGGTACTTACACAGATTTGGACAATAATCGAGGAAATTTTCCTCATGAAGAGGAAAAAATTTGAATTTTCGCAGCGTGATATCCCAAAATCAAATTATTATTGCTTATCAGAATTTATCTATTGGATGGAATGGATAAAACACGGTATTAATTGCAAGATCTCGATAAGATCTTCAAATTA